ACTAGGATAAGAAGGAATTCTGTCAAAAAAATTCAGTCAAAAAAAAAAAAAAGTTCCTGGAGTCAGGAGGATGAGTTCAAATCAGACCTCAGACACTTGACACTTACTAGCTGTGTGACCCTGGGCAAATCACTTAACCCTGACTGCACCACCAAAAAGAAAAAAAAAAAGTTCCTGGCATCAAATGTCTACAATAAGGACATGATATCCCAAGATACTGGAGGGTAGTGGGGAAGAGGACAGGGGTCACACATATAAGACCAAGATCCATTCTATGAAGGATATGAACAATTCTCAAAAGAACTGCAAACTAGAAACAATCATATGAAAACCAGCTCCAAGTCACTAATAAGAGAAATGCAAGCCAAAATAACTGAGTCTTTACTTCCTAACCATTAGACGGGCAAGATGATACAAAATGGTGAGTCAGTTTTGAAGGAGCTACTGACTGATCTAACCATACTGGAAAGCAATTTGGAATTATGCTACGAAAATGACTAAAATGCCCAAACCCTCTGACCTAGAAATCCTGCAGTTAGGTATACACTCCACTCCACCTCACCCCCACCCAAGGATGTTAAAAACAGAAAGGTCCCAAGGACACCAAAGTATTTACAACTGCATTTTTTGTAGTAACAAAGAACTGGAGTAGATGCCTATTGTTTGGGAAACAGCTAAACAAATTGTGGCTCCTGAATGTAATGGAATATTACTGTGCCATCAGAAATAATGACTATCTGTAATACAAAGAAGCCTGGCAAGCTTGATAGGAACTAAGGCAAAGTGAAGTAGAATCAGAAAAATATGGACAATGACGATTATTAAGAGGAAACAAAGGAAGAAATGAAACATCTGATTGTTATGACCAGGCTTGATCAGAGGGCATATAGGCACCTCCCTGCCCCTTACAGATGTGGGCATGGAAGAGGCAGGTAACGTCTCTGGGAGCTATGGGTTGTATGTGCTCAACCCTTCGCCACACTCATTTTCCTTTGTTATAAGAGCAGGCTCTTTGGGGGAGGGGTGGAGGGGAAGAACAGGATTTGGAAATGAAAGTGACAGAAAAACAAAACATCAAAATATTTTTTTTTAAATTACAGATAGAGGCAAGACGTGTTCAGTGTGCTTTTGCTGGATTTTTCCAATTCGTATAAAATTTCTCTGGAATTTAATAATTAAAATTAGACTCATTCAAGAAGTCAGATCTACACTAACCACTTTGATGAAATAATCACTACAAGGTTGTCAGTTAAGTTCTGCTGAAAACCCAACCATCCATAAGGTATTTATTGATTTATAAGTCTTAGGTGAGGGAAGTGAAAAGGATGGAAGATATTCAGAACATAACACACAACTACCTGAGGTGGTAAAATTTTTAAAGGTGTAATCATCAAGAAAATCCTTTCCCCCTCCCCAAAATGTGCCACTAGAAATTAATAAAATTAGTAGCACTTGATAAATGTATGTGTCTATTATATGTGTGTAAGTATGTGTGTATACACACATGTATATATTATACATGCATGCACAGACACACAGACACACAGACACACAGACACAGACACACACACAGACACACACACACACACACACACACACACACACACACACACATATATCTCGGTGTTTATTCTGTCCCTACAGCCAGCGCCAGGTAGTGCTGCTGTTAAGAACACACTGCCTTTCTATATCTAGACACAAGTGCACAAACCCCAGAGGAAGAACTGATGAATGATGAAATCTTGCCTTAGACAGAAATCAGTGTTTAGACAAATAGAAGACAATAATACCTGGATCTCCAGTAAAATCAACTGTTCACCTCACCCCCACCCCCCAGGCCAAAATCTGAGACCAGAAGCAAAGGAAGAGCTTCAATCTCGGTCCCTGGCCACATCTAGGCTCTAGGCAAAGCCGAGGATTACAAGCCATCAATCATAATGAATCAATCCTTGCCTCTGTGTTGCCCAGCTCGGGCCTCCAAGCCTGATTACAGCTCAAATTGTGCACAACCAAAAAAAAAAAATTACCTTAACCTTTTGCTAAATAGGAATGATGGGAAAAACAACAATTTCAAAGGTTTAGAAGCCTGGACTTGATCTGTTTGTTTGAGGGAGGATGCACTGGAGGGTGCTCAGTCACATTTCTAGCTGCCAGAGCTTTTTCTTTAAATAAATGGCTTTGCTTTAAGTCGCCCTGTTTTCATTGGCTCTGCTGTAAGGTAGCAACAACCCAGCCTCTGTGACTCTCTGCACAGCTATTTATACATTGTCATGGGCCCGAAGGCTGCTTCCTGGGGTGGTAGTGGTTTTCTCACTTGGGAAAAAGTCCTTTCCAAGACTGAATTCATGATGAAATAACATCATTCTGACACCAGAAGCAGCACTAATGTTTTCCAATAAAAGAGGCGACGAGCAATCGTTAAGTGTTATTGTTGTTACTGTGTGCTATGTGCCAGGTACTGTGCTATGCGCACTGAAGACACCCCAGGAAAGCAAGCAGTCCCTGCACTCTGGCAGCCCACAATCCACTGGAGGAGTGAGGAATGTTCTCGGGGATCACACAGCACATATACAAAAATCAAAAACACAGGGGTTGGAGGGAAGGCCCTGACATCCTGCGTAGGAGGGAAAATACGGGGTTCCAAGAGGCAGAGGTGAGGAGGAACTGGGGCAGCCTGAGCTAAGGCACAGAGGCAGAAGCAAGGCTGTGAATGGAGACGAGAGTGTGAAAGTCCGTTCGCCTGGAGTGGCGGAGTGCGTGGAGGGGAATGATGGTCAATGAGCCCAGGAAGACAGGCTAGCCTGGGACAGTGAGAAGCTTTCTGAGCCAAAGGTCACGGTGGAAATTCGGAGACAAGCTCCTCGAGCAGAGAAGTGCCCTGGTCTCAATCTAACCTTGAGGACAATCACTTCAGAAATAGATTGAGGGAAGGGAAGCTGGAGGCAGGAAGACCAACTAGAAAACCACTGCAATAGTAAGAAGTGATGAGATTACAACAATCTTTCTCAATGACCATCTCATGCCATAGACGACAGAGGAAGGAAGAACAGCAAGAAAGAGAAAGGACAGGAAGGAGGGAGGGAGGGCAAAGCTCACTTAATCCATTTCCTCAATTCGATTCAACAAGTATCTGTTAAGGCCTGCCACTATGTGGCAGGCACCGAGTTAGGAGCTGAAGGCACAAGCCCACCCCTCCCCAAGCATCAAACCAAAGCCTCTGCCTTCACACTACCCACGTCTCTCACAAAGCACTCCAAAGCAGTTTTCAGAGTACAGACACAGCAGTCACATCGTATAAACACCGATTCTGAAAAATCCCTAGCAACTCATGTCAATTATATCGCACTTTTTTGTGCTGGGGGAAGAGTACAGAGAGAGGGGAGGAAGGCCTCCCAATGTGGAAAGTCCTTCCGCTGATATAGAAAACTGCAAGGCCTCTCTAAATCGTAGTTTTCAGAAGCGCTTCTGGCCTCCTGAGACAGGGTCATAAAGCTAACGGGTCAGAGACAGGACTGAAATCCAGTTCTTCCTGATTCTAAGGTCAGCCCCCTCCTTGTTACTTGGGCTTGTTGGGCTCCTTCAACTCGTTTACCATGTCGATAACTACATTTCAATATATTGGTTTCTCTGGTAATTCTGGGTATTTATTTTATGCATTTAAAAACATCTTTCTGAAAAGGCTCCAGACAGCCAAGGAGGTTCCTGACCCAGTAAAGGTTATGTCCCCCATGGCCCATCATGCTGTCACATGGGTTACTGATATTAAAATTCCAGTCAGATTTATGGTTAATCCATTAATGTGACCTTTGAGTCAATCACCAAACCTCTCAGGCTCTCAGTTTTCCCCTCTATAAAATGGGGAAGTTGGACAGTAAGGAAATTTATTTTGCTTGAATACCTGTTTGTAACAAGTTTTGTTTTCCTTGATTTCTCAGCTGGGGGCGGGGGGTGGATGAGAGGACACACACCTGAAAATAAAACTGGCTTTCACAAACAAAAATAAAACTGCAATTGGACTAGATGACCACTAAGGTGCACTCCAGCTCTGGGATCTGTATGTCTACCAAGTATCCTGAGACAGAATCACTGACTGTTAGACCTGGGAGAAGTCTTGGAGTGACCAGCCTCACCCTCCCACCCCTTTCCCCCATTTATTTCACAGAGAAGCAAATAAACCCCAAGAGGGGAAGGGCCCACAGCAAAGAGCAACAGCACCAGTCTCCTGCCCTGCCTCCAAACACCCCAGAAAGAAAAGACTCCAACGATCAAGATGAGCCCCTTACCCAAATCTGGCCACTTCCAGACTCACCTCAAGCTCCCACTCTGGCCCCACAGCCTCATTTTCCAATCCTTCTTCAAAGACCACCACAAATTTCCATGAAAAGTGAATTTCAACAACTAGATCCCGTGTGCTGCAGCTGACACTGACCAAGCATGGACTTGGGAGGCCCTGAGGACAGACAACCCAAAAGGAAGCAGTCCCTGCCCTCAGAGAGCATTCTCACCTTACTGGCTGTTGGAATGCCAGACACACATTTGCCTAAAAGACCATTTTAAAGAGAACTCACACAAGACAAGAGCTCACATGGAAGTCAGATGAAGCAATACAAGGACCCTCTCCAGGTCCTTCAGGAAGATTCTGGAATCGATTGCAGGAGTACCCAGCACGGTGTTGCCCACATCAAAGAAGGTGCCGTGCTCTAAGAGCAAAGCAGAATTGCAGTAGCTCACAAGAAACATGGAGATGGGCAAATTTTGAGCCATCTCCATTCCAAATGTTCATATGGACTACTGTGACCCCCACATAGTGATGTCACTTCGGTCCACAATGAACAGAAGAACAACAACCATTACTCTTACTACCACATCTTACTCTGGGGTGCAAGTGTGGGGAGAAGGGCTGGGGAGGGAAACAAGACATACCAGATCACAAGGTAAATACAAAGACAGTTTAACTAAAAACATCAGAATGAGGACTTATCGCACATTAATTTTCTTACCAGTTGTCACACAGTTGAGTTTCCTGTTCTATCACTTCAGCCATCTTCAACTTTCGAAAGACTAGAGGAAAGAAAAAGAAAGGTTGGAACTTTCACTTTCAATTCTCAGAAGACACCAACAAAAAAGAAACTGATTTTGTAAACTACTGCACCAGAGAACTTCCTCAAGCAAAATCACTGCTCTGAAAGCATGTCATAGAATTGTCAACAGGTCTGATTTCTTCTTTATAAAAAGTTTACAACACTCTTCCATAAAGGAAATATTTTATGCTACGAAAAGAAATAGTTGGCAACTTTACTGAGGATCAAAAGACCACAGATTGAGGCCTGGAAGGGAACTTCTAAGACATCCGACACATTTTAGAGATGAGGAATCTGAGCCTCAGAGAGAAGGGTCACATCACACATGTGCTGGGTGGTGGGATTTGAACCCATCTCCCCTGCTGCCAAATCAGGTGTTCTTTCCACTTTGTGGTGCTCGTAATAAAGACAGCATCCTGAATCACAGACACTCAACTAATTCTGCTCAAGAAGAGATTCATTGGGAAGGTACAGGGCCAACGGTCACTGCCCAAAATTCCCTTCAGCTCATTATCCTGGCTTGAGCCCTCTCCCCGGGTCATGGAGCCCGGGGACAGGCTAGAAAGGAAATCACATCTCACAGGGTAGGAATAAGTATGTGTCTGCACGAGTTCTGCTTTACTCAGGATCACTAGAAATGGAAAGGATTGTATCCCAACCCCCTCATTTTACAGATTACAGATCCTTGATTTTTTTTTTTCCAGAGCCATGATCTCACCAGGACTCTCTCCACCCCCCAGGGGCACCCTTTTGCAGACCTTAGGTGAGGGCTACACTAACTGGATAAATGGATTTTTCCCTAGTGAAAAAACAGACCAGAAAATGAGGCCTGGACCATTAGACCAGATGGGAGAAGGAAGCCGCCCCAACCCCGCTGCCCACCGAGCCCACCTGCTCGGCCTGCCCCTCCCCCCGCGTCCCCAAGCCCACCCTAGGCCGGACCGGTCAGCGCCGGCCAGCACGGCAGCAGGGCCCGAGGCGCGGCTCCCTGGGCGGGGGGCCAGACAGCCGGACCGCAGGGACGGCAGGCGCCCCGCCCGGCCGCGTCGGGTCCTGCCGGAGCCGCCCAGCGCCGCTCCCGGGAGGACGCCGCGGCCCCCGAGCGGGCCGGCAGGACGCGTCAGGCCGGGGGCCCTCGGGGCCGGACCCGCCCCCTCCCCCAGCCCCGTTACCTCGGAGCTCGAGGGCGGCCGCCCCCACCGGACAGCCCGAGGAAACCCCCTCCCCACCCCCCGAGGGTCCGCGGCCGCCCCGGCCCACCTGGGAGGGAGGAAGGAAAGAACCCGGCGGCGGCAAGAAGCAGCAACGGCGGCGGCAAAAAGGAGCAACGGCGGCGGCGGGGGCAGCGGCAGCCACAGCAACAGCGCTCCCGCTCAGCCCCCGCACTCAACAACCGCCCCTGAACCGCCGCCGCTTCCGGCCACTGCAAGCAGCCGCGCCCCGATTGGTCCCGCCTCAGAGCCGGCCTGACGCTCATTGGCTGCCCTCCCCCGTCGCTCAGACAGCCCTTTGGGAGCCGCCCCCTAGTCTATGATTGGCTCGCCAAGCCTTTGAGGCGTGTCCGTTTCCTGGCAGCCCCGCCTCCTGCGCTTCTGAAGCTCTGCTGTTTAACCTCCCAGGTGTTTACAGAGGCTTGGGGGAACTCTGATTAATGCTAATGACGTTGGTGATGGACGGTGGAAGTTGTTAACTAATACTGTTGCTAATGGACCATGAAAGTTTTATTGTTTTTATTATTAGCTAATGCAGTTGCTAATCCGTTTCCCTCAATTTCCTCACCTGTAGAATGAGGAAGAGAAGGAGATGGCAAACTGCTCCAGTATCTTTGCCAAGAAAACCCCAAATGGGGTCACGGAGAGTCGGACACGACGGAAACAGGACTGAACAACAACAAAATGTTGCTGTGGACCGTTTTATTATTGTTATTTACTAATGTTACTGATGGACTGTGGAAGTTATTATTGCTATCTTGAGAAATTGAATTGTTCGATTCAACAAACATTGATTAAAGGCATCTGACCATATGACTACCCAATGTAGTATAATACTTCACTGGTTTCTTGTTACCTTAGGATAAATTGTAAACCCCTCTTTAAATTATTACATATAGATAGATAGAGTGATAAAGTGGATGCATAGAGGTAGAGGGATGAGTGGATAGATAGATAGATAGATAGTGGGTAGATGGATAGGTGAATGGATGTAGAGAGAGGAGAGACATGGATATGATGCGGTTTAGGGTTGCTGGGAACCCCAAAATGTAAGGGTTGGGGAGGTCCGCCAGGAAAGAATTCATGCATTCAAATCTTATTTCAGTGAAGGTGGCAAGATTTATTGTAACACCAACTGTGAGGGCTAGATTCCTAATGAATCTGCAACTTAATGAGGGTAAGAGGGATACTTATATCAAAAAAGGGACAGTGAAAAGATCTGGATGGGATTAAGGAGAGGTAAATAGCCTGGGGTGAGTCAGGTGAAATAGTCAAAGGAGTATTTATTAAGTAGTCTGGGGTGGGCTAGATGCCTTGGGCAAGAGGCCAGTGAACTGGGCTGCAGAAATATGTGGGAAAATTCAGGGACTGGGTCGCTTTCAAAGACTTGGTCTTTTCCTTTTTGGGGGCCAGGTCCCATCACTGGATCAGATACATGGGTAGATATGAGAGAGACAGACAGACAGACAGACATAGAGAGAGAGAGAGACAGAGAGAGACAGAGAGATAGAGAAAGGAAGGAAGGAAGGAAGGAAGGAAGGAAGGAAGGATCATTGTCTGACCTTAATAAACTCCACTGGCTCCTTATTACCTCTAGGATCAAATAATATCCTCTTTAGCTTTTAAAGCCTTTCACAACCTGACCCCCTCCTACCTTTCCATTTTTCTTAAACATTACTCACACACTCCGTGATTCAACTGTTCTTCCTCCCTCACAGAACTCTATCTCCCAACTCTGGGCATTTCCCTGGGCTGCAGGAGTGAGGAACCTTCAGCCTTGAGGCCACACGTGGCCTTCTAGGTCCTCAGGTGCGGCCTTTTGACTGAGACCAAGTTTTACCGAACAAATCCTTTTCTTAAAGAGATTTGTACTGTAATGTGTGGATTCAAAGGGCTGCACTTGAGAACCTAGAGGACCACATGGGTTTTCCAGGCCAAAGGTTCCCCACCTCTGGATCCCCTTTCCCTGGAATGCTGTCTCTTCTCATCTCCCCCTCCTGGCTCCCAGGCTCTCTTCAAGTCTCAGCTAACATCCCAGCTTCTGTAAGAAGCCCTTCCTGGTTCTCTTAAATCTCCCCCTGAGTTTACCTCTAGTTTATCCCTTACATATCTTGTTTGCACATAGTTTATTTGCATATAGTCTGCTCTGTTAGCCTGAACTCCTTGAGAGCAGGGCTGGTTTTTGCCTTTCTTTGTAGCCTCAATGCTGAGCACATAATCTGGCACATAGTAAATACTTAATAAATGCTTGTTGACTTGATTTGGCTTGCTGACTTTATGCCAGGCACTGTGGTTACTGGGGGATACAAATCAATCAATAAACATTTATTGCAAGTGCCTACTACATGCTAAGTGGGGGATGCAAATAATTCATTACCAAAACTTTCAAAAATCCAAGAGTGTTCTGCTGAGAAATCTTGGTGGTCATGGGACCAGTTAGCAGCTTGATGGAAAGCCATTCCATTCTCTCAGGATCACAACTAGCATTTATATGGCATCTTAAACTTGGCAAAGCAGGTTAGATTTGGCCCTCCCAACAACCCTGGGAGGTAAGTATGACAGAAGAATTTTAAATGTTGTCCAAACTAGACCAGTCTCTAACCTGTGGATGGCCAGAGCTGAACAAATCAGTCCAGAGGCAAGAGAGTCAGGAATCAAATAGCAGTTTAATTTCAAAGTGAAGAAGTGGAAGTCCACCTTCCTGAGAAGAAGGGCTTACTTGCATGTGGCAGGGGTGGGGTTTTTAAGCATGAAAACCACAAAAAGGCAGGATCCAACACCACCGTTCTTAGGTCTTGAGGAAACAGATCCCAGGAATGCAGGCATTTTGGGGACAATACAGGAGTTCTTGGGGCCTGTGGGAATGATGCAGTTTGGGGTTTCTGGGAACTCTGAAATGTCAGGGTACAGGGTGAGTCTACCTGGAAAGAATACAACCACTCAAGCCTTCTTTCAGTCAAAGTAGCAAGGTTTATTGCCTGGTCCATCATCTTCTTTGTTTATACATTTCTTTGAAGAAGAACATTATCTCAGAGCTTTATGATAAACCTTTAAGGGCTACATCAAAGAACATTCCTACTATTCTGTACCTTCTGAGATATAGATGAACCCAGGCCCTGGGATTTCAAATTAAACTCACTTTCCACTGTACCTCACTACCTCTGTCTCGTCAAGTAGACTGTAAGTTAATTGAGTGACTTAGAATCATGGGAGCATAAATTTAGAGCTGGGAAAGACTTTAGATGTTATCTAAACCAAAGCCCTCACTTAATAGAAAGAGGAAATGAAAGTAATTTGCACAAAGTCACACAAAGCCCAAATTGGAACTCAGCTTCTCAGAATCCAAATCTAGAACATTTTCCACTCCACTATTCCTTTCTCTTTTTTTCTTTTTTCTTTCTTTTTTTTCTTCCTTCCTTCCTTACCTTTTTTCCTTCCTTTCTCTTTCTTTTTTCTTCCTTCCTTCCTTCTTTCCTTCCTTTTTTTGTGTCCCTGGCTGTCTCTGCCCATAGTTGGTTCTCAGAACAGACTGTCCCCACCTTATGAGTGAGCCATGTTCCAAAAATGTATCTGGAACTAGCTTGTGTGAAATTTGAAAAGCATTTTTCCCACGTAAACAATGTTATAAATATTAGTTCCCTGAACAACCTTCAAAGCCTGATCAACCCCTAGTGTTATTTGAAATCCAGTACATTTATGTAGGAAACGAAACTGTGAACTAAGTTACAGGAGTGGGAAAGCATGAAATGATGTTTAGACTAATAGTATCTAAAGGCAGCAGTTAGGTAGCTACAACGCAATAATAATATGACCCCAGCTGACAATTGGAGGTAGCATGGCATAATGGAAAGGGGTTTGGGGCTGGAGCTGGAAAGACCAGATGCAAAATCCAGCCTCTGACACTGTGATCATGACAAGCCCCTTCTGCAGCTTGGTAGGTAGCCCGTGGATCGTACTCTAGACCTGGAGTCAGGAAGAACAGAGTATAAATCCCCTCTCTCCATCTCAGACCTTTACTAGCTATGGGACCCTGACCGAGTTCACTTAACCTCTTTTAGCCTCAGTTTCCTCATCTGTAAAATCAGAATAATAGCGATACCTTCCTTATAGGTTGTGCTGCAAGGATCAAGTGAAAAAATGGCAGGTGTCCCAAAAGTCTAATTTCAATTTTAAGCAATTAAAGCTCAAAACTACACTAACTGTGTGACCCTGGGCAAGTCCCTTAACCCCAATTGCCTAAAAATAACCCCCCCCCCAAAAAAAACTACACTAAGATGTTTGGGACACTGTGCATGTAAGGACATTTGCAAACCTTAAAACCCTATATAAATGCTGGCTATTATTATTAACCTCTTTGAGCACGCATTTTTATCATTTGCAAAGCAGGGATATTAATACTTATAGTGACGGGGCATTGGGATGTGCTAAGGAGGGAGGGAATAAGCATTTATATAACACCTACTATGGGCCAGGCACTGTTCCAAGCATTTTACAATTTTATCTCATTTAATCCTCACAACAACACTGGGAGGTAGATGCTGTTACTCTCCTCATTTTACAAATGAAGAAACTGAAAGGCTAAGTGACTTGCCTAGGGTCATGTAGCTAGTGTCTGAGGACAAATTTGAACTTACAATGCCTATCTCTCAGGGTTGTTGTATGAATTAAACAAGATAATAATTGTAAAGTGCTTAGCACAGCCCCTGGCAAATAGTGGGTGCTATATAAATGTTAGCTATTATCATTATGATTATGATTGTTATGGCAGCTAGGTGGCACAGTAGACAAGAGGACTAGGCCTAGAGTCAGGTAGACTCATCTTCATGAGTTCAAATCTGGCCTCAGACACTTACTAGCTGTGTGACCCTGGGCCAGTCACTTAACCCTGTTGGCCTCAGTTTTGTCATCTGTAAAACAAGATGGAGAAAGAAATGGTAAATTGCTCTAGAATCTTTGCCAAGAAAACCCCAAAACGCAGGCACAAAGAGTCAGACACAACTGAAAAGAACTAAACAACAAATATTGCTATTATCATCATCATCATCATCATCATCATCATCATCATCATCGTGCCATCTCACTACCTTTAAGGTCTGACCTTAGAGTCAGGAAGTCCCAGGTTCAAGTTCTCCACATACTAGCTGAGTGACCATGGACACATTACTTGACCTTCCAGTGCC